ATAGGGTGGGGGTGGGGGGTGGGAGAGAGAGAGAGAGGGAGGGAGGGAGTAGATGAGAGAGAGAAAAAGAATGAATTACTTGGAAAATAAAATTCTACTCTTCTCGAGGAAATTATTTTCCTTGTTTTGAAGGAAAGTATGGTCATGTGATCAAAAGTAGGAAAATATTTTTCATGGAAAAAAATCAATCAAAATAGCTAAGAAGTATTGGCAATTAAACGCACTATTAACTTATATTAAAACTTTATCATGAAGATTATACGGCAAAAATTTTGTTGGAGCCAGTTAGAAAATGAGTTATGTAGTATATGATAATCGCGCAGCTACTACTTGCACGAAATGTTCAAAACTCTCTGAAAGTGACAATTAATTAGGAAATGAGAGATTTACTTTTATGTAAATCTTATAGGAATGTAGAAAGGTCGCCTATCAATGAATTATATCGTGTTAAATATTTGTACATATTGACATTAAATAAGTTAATTTTTTCTGAGTGGAGGCATGTTGACTATAAGCCATTGGATAAGATAGTTCATTTGATGATTGTGCAAAAGAGACTAAGAGCTTGTTTGAGAGTAATTTTTCATCCCAAAAAATTGATCTTTTGATCGTTATTTCACTATTCTAGTTGTGAAGTTTGACTTCTTCTCTCATGGGTGGCTCCCACTTTTCTCCTAACGGTCACAAAATCAATTTTCAAAATCACTCCCAAACGGGGCCTAAGAAGAAATTACAATATGATATACTCGATCTTATATTAACTAGTTTTGAGACTAATCAAATTCATCGCCTTTGTGACCAGATATGTTGGCGGTGTGTTTATCTTGAAACTGTTAAATTTGATTCTTTGAGGATATTTATATACATGAACTGGGACCTTGTCCAAAAAAACTTTCTTTAAAGCTACTGATTAGCTTGGGTAATATGATATTTAATTATTTTCAATTTTTAATCGATCCATATTTTTCTATTTATCTTATCAAATTTAATCCATTAGTACTTACTAGCATTTGAATACATGAAATTGTACAGTAAATTGCAAGTTCTACCATACAAGATATTGTAAAAAATTGGTAATATACCATCGTTTACGCTTTCTTTAATTACGACTTCATCCTCTTCCTAGCATAGCCTCCTACTTTGATCCAAAAATTAACTAAGGATAGAAGCAACCGCTTTCGTTTTATGGAAATGGGATCCCCAATAGCTAGAGACAAAAGATTCATATGAGAAAACATAAGTAAACGGGCCTCCACCTGAGCCTCCGAAGATAAAGGTACAGGAACAGCCATTTGATCCCCATCAAAATCTGCATTGAATTCCTTACAAACTAATGGATGTAAACAAATAGCATTCCCCTTCACTAAAACGGGCTAGAATGCCTGTATGCCTAATCTATGCAGAGTGGGTGCTCTAATCAGCAATACAGGATGCCCCTGTATAATTTTCTGAAGTATTTCCCATACAATCTGTTCTTTTTCCCAAATTTTACTCTTAGCAACTCCTATGTTCGGAGCAAGATGTTGTCTAATTAGACCATGAATTACAAATATCTGGAAAAGCTCTATTGCTATTTCGCGCGACAATCCACATCGATGTAATGAAAGTGAAGGACCCACGACAATGACGGAATGACCTGAATATTGGGTTATCCATTTTTTGTAAGTTACTATTTAACCTCATTATTTGAAATTTTAGAGTAATACTATATAGCCACATTGAGTTGCAACCCTAGTTTAGCTAATCCTAGATGATAGGCTAAATGAAAGGTAAAATTAAATGACTTATTTAATTCCACTTATTATTTAATGTCAAGTTAACGCCACCTAGACTGCGGTTGTAACCCTAGTGGGATTAATAGGATTACTCAAAATTATATGGTTGGGATATTGCTGTTAGGGATGTCAATTGGGCTGAGTCGGCTCGCGGCTCGTCGGCTCGGCTCGTCAAAGCTCGGCTCGTCGGCTGCTCGGGCTTGTCAAATGACGAGTCCGAGCTCAAGCCGAGCCGGGGGTTGCGTCCAACTCGTCGAGCTCGCCGAGTGGCTTGTCCAAGAAAGTGGAAAAAAAATAATATTTTATCAATAAAATTTGAAAAATTTGCAAAAAATAAAAAATAAAAAATTCACAAGCTCGCGAGCCACTCGTGGCTCGTGAGTACACGAGCTTGTGGGCGAGTCGAGCGCTCGCCCACGAGCAACGATCGCCATGAGTTCGAGCCGAGCTCGTGGGTTAACGAACCGAGCCGGCTCGGCCCGGTCCACTGCCATCCCTAATTGCTGTTGCTATTGTGATTTTTTTTTTTTAAATTGTGATTGAAAAAGAAGTAATTTTTTTGGGATTATGTATAATATTATTTTATTGAAAAATGTATATTTGATAAGAAGATAGAGAAAAATGAATTATAATTTTAATAGGGCCAAACACGAGTTAAATAATGTATGCAAGTTGCAGAGCTTGTAAAGATTGTTTTCTCAGATGGTAATAGTCATTATCTTTAATCATACCATTTTTTTTCTTTAATATTTAATTGTATTTATTATGCTGGGAATTTTTGTAACTTGTATGGTGAAAAGCATTTGGCTGATCAACTTTTTTTTCGAAGTACGTCAATTTTGTTTGGCAATAGTTCATCGTGTTCCCATCAAACTTCTACGCCTAATGCTTTGCTTACTATCTTGATTAGAATCAATTTTCCTAAGAATGTGTTAGCTGTTGAACAAGCCAATTTGCTGTATTATATATGTAAGTTTACTTTTAGTACTCATCCGGAGACCAGATATATAATAAAAATATTTTTGATCTTCATGTTACCAATAATATAAATGATTGTTTTAAGGTATCTTGTTATTGTAAAGTAGAGCACTTTGTATTGATATTTGCACATTGAGACATCCAAGGTCATTTATACTTAAGTCGGCCTTTATAATTTGTTGTGATGTTTCTGTACTTTTTTAAAAGGTTAGACTGCGATTTTTCTTTCATTGTTGTTATTTAAATGCTAATATAATGAGTAAGGAATGTCTCACCTTTACTTAATGAATTTCTTGTTTTTTCCTTTTTTAATTAAATTTAATATAATGAATTATGAAAATTGGCTTCATATGCACCAGTCTTTGTGCAAAGAAGGCATGTGTGAAGGCTAAGATGAACATATTTTCGTTTACTTATTTTCATAAATTTATAATTATGCTACTCTTCAAATACACTCTTAAACACTTTGAAGCTATGTTCTTAGAATTTAACTCGTTGAGTTGTTGTTTGTCTATCATTCTCCAATTTTTTTTTTTTTTTCCTTTTTAAACCCATTTCAATCATACATTATCATAATCAAATATTTTGCATGTGAATTCAAAATTTTTCTTACCTTTCAACCACACAT